ATTAGCCAATCATGAAAGACTGTGTGCCTGAGCTCCACTCAAGACAGGCCCTGATCGGTTTGGCTCAGTGGATAGAGTGTCGGCCGGCCTGCGGACTGAAAGGTCCCAGATTCGATTCCAGTTAAGGGCAGGTACCTTGGTTGCGGATGCATCTGTCCCCAGTGAGGGGAGTACAGGAGGCAGCTGATTGATGTTTCTAACTCTTTATCCCTCTCCCATCCTCTGTAAAAAATCAATAAAGTGTATTAAAAAAAAAAGAAAAAAAAAAAAAAAAAGAGTGAGGGACAGGCCATGTGCATCGGGATTGAAAAGCTGAGCAGACAGCCTGCTCTGTGTGCTCGTGCTTCTAGGCCATGTGCTGTGCACCTTTCTATGTAGAAGTAAAGGTATTTGCCTTGCTGCCTGGCTCCCTAGTGTGTTTTATGTTCTACCAGGACCCCTGAATTTGGGGGCTCGCCTTATTTCTTACACTATAAAGCTACAATAATCTAAACAGTGTGGCACTGGTGGAAAAAACAAGATAGACAAATAGATCCATGGAACAAAAGAGCGTTAGATCTATAGTCAACTGATCTTTGATAAAGGAGCAAAGGCAATGCAGTGGAGAAAACCGGACATTCACATGCAAAAAAATGCATACACAGACCTGTACCCATTACAAAGATTAACTTAAAGTAGACCACAGACCTACAGGTAAAGGGTAAGACTACAAAAACACCTAGCATATAGTGTACGAGAAAATCCAGATGATCTTGGGTTTGGTGATCACCCAAGGCATGATCTATGAAAGAAATAATTGATAAGGTGGAGTTCTTTATTTTTTTTTTTAATTTATTATTATTTTTAAGGTGTAGTTCTTTAAAATTAAATTTTCTGCTATGCAACCCTGGCTGAGTGGCTCAGTTGCTTGGGGTTTCATCCTGTACACCAAAAAGGTGCAGGTTTGATCCCCAATTGACAACTGATTGATGTTTCTCTCTCTTTCCCTTTCCCCCTCTCTAAAAATCAATAAAAATATATTCTTGGGTGAGGATTAAAAAAGTTTCTGCTGCCGAAACCAGTTTGGCTCTAAAGGATTGCTATCTAAAATATACAAAGAACTTAAAAAAAAAAAAAAAAAAAAAATATATATATATATATATATATATATTATTGATTTTGTACAGAGAGGAAGGGAGAGATCTAGAGAGTTAGAAACATCAATGAGAGAGAGTCATCGATCAGCTGCCTCTTGCACACCCCTACTGGGGATATGCCCGCAACCAAGGTACATGCCCTTGACCGGAATCGAACCCGGAACCCTTCAGTCCCCAAGCCGACGCTCTATCCATTGAGCCAAACCAGTTTCGGCCAAAGAACTCTTATAATTCAATAATAGGAAATGAATTATATTTAAAAATTGGCAAAAGGGCAATTTTAAAAACAGATACTTCACCAAAGAAGATACATAGATGGCAAATAAGTATGTGAAAATATGCTTCACATCACTTGTCGTCAGGAAAATGCAAATTGGAACAGTGAGATACCGTCACACACCTTCTGGAATGGCCAGAACCCACACTGACAACACCCCGGGCCAGTAGGATGAGAAGCAACAGCAACTCTCGGAAATGCAAGATAGAAGAGCTACTTTGGAAAATGGTTTGGCAGAACTAAACATACTCTTTTCATATGATCTAGCAATTGTGCTCCTTGGTATTTACTCAGTTAAAAACGTATGTCCGAGGAGGAGAAACCAATATGGTAAACGCTTAACTGCAGCCTCACACAACAATGTCAAAAAAATACAACTAAAATATAAAATGGACATTATCCAGAACTACAGGAAAGTATTCTGACTGGAAATTCTACAACTAGAAAGAATGAGAAAACCGGAAGGAAAATCAGAGGAGATGTAAAAGCCTAAGGTACAGAGACACGGTGCGCGAGTGGGGAGAGGACAGAGAGGCTGAGTGCCTGGCTGGCGTTCCCTAGCGGGAAGGAGATAAAAGCTCCAGACTGTGCTGAACCCCAGTTCTGGCAGCACTGAACCCCAGTTCTGGGCGAGACCCTGGGGACCCAGGCTCATACAGAGGGAGTCTGGGCTGTGAGGCGGAAACTCAGGGGATCAGCGAAAGGCAGTTCCGGAGGTGTGCACTCAGAATCAAAGGCCAGATAAAGAGCTTCACAAATAAAAAAAAGCTAAAGGAGTTCATCACCGCCAAACCAGAATTATATGAATTGCTGAAGGGGGTTCTCTATGAAGAAGAAGAAAATAAAGATAAAAATTATGAACAACAAATAACGTAACTATCAACAAGTGAATCTAAAAACCAAGGGAATTGCCGAAACCGGTTTGGCTCAATGGATAGAGCATCGGCTTGGGGACTGAAGGGTCCCGGGTTCGATTCCGGTCAAGGGCATGTACCTTGGTTGCGGGTATATCCCCAGTAGGGGGTGTGCAAGAGGCAGCTGATCGATGACTCTCATCGATGTTTCTGACTCTCTATCTCTCTCCCTTCCTCTCTGTACAAAATCAATAAAATATATTTTAAAAAATAAAATAAAAAAAATAAAAACCAAGGGAATTAAAAAATCTGATGAACAATATTAACTGGTGAATAGAATCAGAGATATGGAAGGGGTTGAGGCCGGTTTGGCTCAGTGGTAGAGTGTCGGTCTGCGGACTGAAAGGTCCCAGGTTCGATACCGGTCAAGGGCATGTACCTTGGTTGTGGGCACATCCCAGGTAGGGGATGTGCAGGAGGCAGCTGGTTGATGTTTCTCTCTCATTGATGTTTCTCTCTCATCGACGTTTCTAGCTGTCTCTCTCCCTTCTTCTCTGTAAAAAATCAATAAAATATATTAAAAAAAAAAAAAAAAAGAGATATGGAGGGGAAGTGAACTGAGGATTCTCGGGGAAAAGAGGAGTGGGGGGTGTGGGAATAGACTAAACATAAACTGTGCACCTATGGATGAGGACAGTGAGGGGTGGGGAAAGGGCAGAAAGTGGAGTGGGAACCTGGTGAATGGGAAAAAAATGAGGAACTTTTGTAATAATATGAACAATAAAGATATATATATATATATATATATATATATATATGTATAAAAGCAATGAAAGAATGGTGTTCAAAGCACCACTGATCAAATGGGAATTTTCTGTGCAATATCTCAATTGATAAATTAACATTGATTTTGGAGTATGTGAGTCACTAAGTTTTCTGTGTGTTTTTTTTTTTTTTTTAAATTCTTTACTGCCGATACCGGTTTGGCTCGGTGGATAGAGCGTCGGCTTGGGAACTGAAGGGTCCCGAGTTCGATTCCGGTCAATGGCATGTACCTTGGTTGTGGGCATATCCCCAGTGGGGAGTGTGCAAGAGGCAGTTGATCGATGACTCTCTCTCATCGATGTTTCTAACTCTCTATCTCTCTCCCTTCTTCTCTGTACAAAATCAATAAAATATATTTAAAAAAAAAAATCAATAAAATATATTAAAAAAAAAATTCTTTACTGTTTAAAGTATTACATATGAATCCTTTCTCCCCCATGATCTCTCCCCACTTATTCACCCCCTGCTACTGACTATGTCCATGGGTTATGCTGATATGCATGCATACAAGTCCTTTGGTTGATCTTTTACCCCCTCATCCTCCTTTCCTCTTGTTCCCCCCTGAGGCTGGTTTGTTCGATGCCTTTTTCTGTGCTTTAAGATGTTTTTGCTAAACTTATTTTTGATTAGTAAGAGTTTTAGTCTTGTACGTAGGCAGATTTCCAAAAGGAAACTTGAGTTGCCTTAAAATAAAACCTATCCTTGTTGGGACCGGTTTGGCTCAGTGGATAGAGCGTCGGCCTGCGGACTGAAGGGTCCCGGGTTCGATTCCGGTCAAGGGAATGTACCTTGGTTGCGGGCACATCCCCAGTGGGGGGTGTGCAGGAGGCAACTGATCGATGATTCTCTCTCATCGATGTTTCTGACTCTCTGTCCCTCTCAATTCCTCTCTATGTAAAATCAATAAAATATATTAAAAAAAAAATAAAACCTATCCTTGTTTTATGGATCTCTCTCTCACCTTCAATAGCGAACTTATATAGACCAAATTAGGAATCCTTTAGCTATACAACTATCATATTATTAAAAAAAAAATTTTATTGATGGCAGAGAGGAAGGGAGAAAGAGAGAGAGACAGAAACATCAATGATGAGAGAGAATAATTGACCAGCTGTTCCTGCACGCCCCCTACTGGAGATCAAACCTGCAACCCTGGCATGTGCCCTGTCTGAGAATTGAACTGTGACCTCCTGGTTCATAGGTCGAAGCTCAACCATTGAGCCATGCCTGCTGGACTATTTGAGGGTTTTACTTTTGTCTTTGCAGGCATTTTTTCAGAATAAGTATACCAAATTCATATACATTTTTATTTACCCCTGACTTACAATTTCTAAAAATCAGACCTGAAAACATACTTTAGCCATGACCAGGTATTTCAGATAGAGTGTTGCTATGATAAGCCAAAGTTGTTTGTGGGTTCGAATCCCAAAAGAATCAATCAACGAATGCATAAATAAGTGGAAAAACAAATGCATGTTTCTCTCTCCTTCCCTCTCTCAAATCAATCACTTAAAGAAAGGAAGAAAGAAAGGAAAATATAATTTAAACTCAAGATATAAATCATCTTTGACAATCTTAAGTCTAACAACTTTAAAGAAATGGCTTTTTGTTAAATAGTTCATTTAAAAAACACACACAATCAACAGCTCTAGCTGGTTTGGCTCAGAGGATAGAACGTCGGCCTGCAGATTGAAGGGTCCTGGGTTCCAGGGTCGATCCCCAGTAGGACGAGTGCTGGAGGCAGCCAGTCAATGATTTTCTCTCATCACTGATTTTTCTCTCTCTCTCTCCCTTCCTCTTTGAAATCAATAAAAATATAAAACACAAACACACACACAAAAAAACACAACTAACCAAACAAAAACAACAACAAAAAACCCCAAACCACCCTAATCAACAATAAGTTACCTTAGCAGCTTGAGATTCTCTTAAGTAATATTTTAAAAGGTCAGAAAGTTTGAGGTCCTCGTCAGCAGACACTCGTGCTTCTATTTTCTGAAAAAGGGTAGGAAAATTGGCATTTATTCATCACTTGTATTCTACACTCAATGTTTTCTTTCTTAATTACTGTAAATAATTGAAGGTATAAATAACTATAGTTAAAATTAAAAAACCCTGCACATCTACCAGAATAGCTAAAATAGAACAGTACCAAGTATTACAAGCTTGTGCAGCAATCCAATGCTCATTCTTTCTGGTGGAGATGTAAACTGATACAATCACTTAGGGAAATGTTTTGGCAGTATCTACAAAATCTTTTCACATGGATACCCTGGGACTCACTAATTCCCCTTCTAGTTGTGTACACCCAACAGAAATGTGCAGTATGTTCAACCGAAGATTCACAAGAATGGTCTCAGCAGTACCATTTGTAAAGAGCTCCAAAGTAGGAACTATCCAATGTTTTACCAACAGTAGAACAGATAAATTCAGTATATTCTTGCAATAGCATACTATACAGCAGTAAGAATGACACAGATCCCTATGCTTATGATGTAAATGCACACACACAAAAAACCTATCTTTCCAGAAAATGTTCTTATACAAATATCAAAGGCAGAATAATGGGCTATATGGACCCCAGTATAACAACATTTAGATATTTAAAAACTTTTTCCTTTGTGAGAGAAGATCTTCTTTTACTTGTCTCTACTACATTATCACTGAATTAAAAAGGTCATGTTGAAATCAGATTTCTACAATGAACTAAACACTACCACTCTCAGATAAATATTTTCACTATTCTATCAAGTGATAAAAATGTTAAATATATTGTATCTAGAACCGATCCTCAAAAACCAAGATTATATCATTATTAAATTACTACTACCGTGAATGAAACCTTCTGCAGTTGTGTGTGTGTGTGTGTATATCTATCTATCTATATATCTATATAGATATATCTATATATATATATTTAAAAAAAATATTTTATTGATTTTGTACAGAGAGGAAGGGAGAGAGATACAGAGTTAGAAACATCGATGAGAGAGAGTCATCGATCAGCTGCCTCCTGCACACCCCCCACTGGGGATATGCCCGCAACCAAGGCACATGCCCTTGACAGGAATCGAACCCGGGACCCTTCAGTCCCCAAGCCGTCGCTCTATCCACTGAGCCAAACCAGTTTCGGCTGTATATATATATTTTTAAACTGTACATCTTTAAAAAAAATATTTTTATTGATTTCAGAGAGGAAGGGAGAAGGAGAGAGAGATAGAAACATCAATGATGAGAGAATCATTGATCACTTGCCTCCTGCATGCCCCCTACTGGGAATCGAGTCCTCAACCTGGGCATGTGCCCTTGACTGGAATCAAACCCAGGACCCTTCAGTCTGCAGGCCGATGCTATATCCACTGAGACAAACCAGTTAGGGTTGCAGTTGTATATATGACACAACTCACTTTAAACCAATGTGTCAAGGGTGATCAAAAGCAATATAGTTTTGGTCAAGGGACAATGAATCTAACTTTCTTCTAGCTTACAAAGCACCAATAAAGGACCATTCTTCATAAAAATAAACCCAGTTTCCATAATAAACATGTTTTCTGATAGAATACAGACATCTACATAAATACCAAAAGGCCATAACAAAAAAATCTAAATCTGTTTCTTAATCATTTTGAAGTATAACTCCCCTTCCTCAATAAAGCTAAATAAGTTAAACACAACAGTATGCTAAATAAGTTAAACACAACAGATATTTGGATTATCAAAGATTAATTAATAGTACTTACTCTCGTTTTATCAAACAGTTCTGAAACTTTGAGAAAAAATCTGGAAGAGAAAAATATTTCATCAGAAGCTACCTTTAAATAATTTTCTATTTCAAATGTTCAGAGAATACATAATACCCTAAATCAAATGAATAATGAACATTCTTGTCTCATTAAAGTAATATTTAATGGTCTTATTTTCTTCATTTAACAAATATCTTTGTGCTTCCACCAATAACAAATTACTTGAAATTTGTTATTACAGAAAATCTTCCCATTTTAAGATAACAGTCTGTCATACAATAAAACCTAAAAACTTTGTATTGATATTCTTTTTTTTTATAATATATTTTATTGATTTTTTACAGAGAGGAAGAGAGAGGAGAGAGCTAGAGAGCTAGAAACATCGATGGAAGAGAGACATCGACCAGCTGCCTCTTACACACCCCACATCAGGGATGTGCCCGCAACCAAGGTACATGCCCTTGACCGGAATCGAATCTGGGACTTTCTAGTCTGCAGACCGATGCTCTATCCACTGAGCCAAACTGGTTTTGGCTGTATTGATATTCTTTTTAAAAATGTATTTTATTCTTTTTTTTAAAAAATAAATTTTTATTGTTCATATTATTACAAATGTTCCTCCCCCCACCCTCCATTGCTCTCCTCCACCAGGTTCCCACCCCACCCTCTGCCCTTTCCCCACCCTCCATTGTCCTCATCCATAGGTGTACCGTTTATGTTCAGTCTCTTCCCACATCCCCCTTTCCCCAAGAATTGTCAGTTCACTCCCCTTCCATACCTCTGATTCTATTATATTCAACAGTTAATATTGTTCATCAGATTTTTTTTTTTTTAAATTTCCTTGGTTTTTAGATTCACTTGTTGATAGTTATGTATCTGTTGTTCATAATTTTTATCTTTATTTACTTTCTCTTCTGAAAGAACCCCCTTCAGCAATTCATATAATTCTGGTTTGGTGGTGATGAACTCCTTTAGCTTTTTTTTTTTATTAGTGAAGCTCTTTATCTGACCTTCGATTCTGAGTGACAGCTTTGCTGGATAGATTATCTTTGGCTGTAGGTTCTTACTATTCATCACCTTGAATATTTCTTGCCATTCCCGTCTGGCCTGCATGGTTTCTGTTGAGAAATCAGCTGACAGTCGTATGGGTGCTCCTTTATAGGTAACTACCAGCTTTGCTCTTGCTGCTTTTAATATTCTCTCTTTGTCTTTGCTCTTGGAATTTTAATTATGATGTGTCTTGGTGTGGTCCTCTTTGGATTCCTTTTGTTTGGAGTTCTGTGCACTTCTTGGACTTGTAAGTCTAATTCTTTCACCAGGTGGGGGAAGTTTTCTGTCACTATTTCTTTCAGTATGTTTTTGGTATCTTGCTCTCTCTCATCTTCTGGGACCCCCATGATTCTGATGTTGGTTTGCTTGAAGTTGTCCCAGAGGTTTCTTACATTATCTTCAATTTTCTGGATTCTCTTGCCGTCTAGCTTATGTGGAGAAGTGTCTTCTGGCTCTTTATGTTCCAAATCTTTGACTTGATTCTTGCGATCTTCCATTCTGTTTTTAGGACTCTATATAATATTTTTTATTTCAGACAATATATTCTCTATTTCTTGTTGATCCCTTATCATTTCTTATTGATTCCTTATTAATTCTAGTTGATCCCTTCTCATATCCTCATAGGTCTTATCAATCTTCTCTAGGAAATTCTTGAAAAGCCTTATAAGCGTAGATTTGAACTCTATATCTAGTCGCTTTTTGTCCTCCATTTCTTTCGTTTGTGATCTATTTCGTCTCGGCATTTTTGCAGTTTCCCTGATGGGGCGGGGTTTCAGGGTGGAGCCTACAGCTTTGGCTTCTGTCAGCCCCGCCCTATGTGGCTCCTGAGTCTCAGTAATCCCCAGGGTCCTTCAGTACTCGTTGCAAGCACCTCTGAGAGAAAGGTGCCCTCGATTTTCGCCTGCTACCAGTCTAGGCTCTCCCCCAATGAGCCTGGTATTGGGGTTCAGTTCAGTAGTAAGTGGAATTGGAGGTGGTGTTCAGAGCAGTCTGGAGCCCCTGTCTCCTTCCCGCCAGGGCAATCCTGTGGCACAGCCAACTGTCCCTTCTCTGCAAACAATGTGCTTGCCTCCGGGACCTCCTTTCGCAGTTCCCCCGTGGTTCTGCCTTACAGCCCAGCTTCCTCTGTTTGAGCCTGGGTCCCCGGGGTCTGGCCTAGAACAGGGGTTCAGAGTAGTCGGAACTGGGGCCCAGCACAGTCGGAACTTTTATCTCCTTCCCACTAGGGAACGCCAGCCAGGCACTTAGCCGCCCTCCTCTCTGGCTCCATCCTCTCCGCGCGTCACGTGTCTCCGTACCTTAGGCTTTTACAGCTCCTCCGCGTTTCCTTCTGGCCTTCTCCTTGCTTCTCATTGTAGAATTTTCAGTCAGTCAACTTTCCTGTAGTTCTGGGTAATGTCCATTTTATATTTTAGTTGTATTTTATTGAAATTGTTGTGTGCGGCTGCGGCTAGGTGTTTACCTGTGCAGCCATCTTGGATTCTCCTCGTTTTATTGATTCTTTACAGAGAGGAAGGCAGAGGGATAGGATAGAGAGCCAGAAACATAGATGAGAGAGAAACATCGACCAGTTGCCTCCTGCACACCCTCCACTGGGGATGTGCCCGCAACCAATGTACATGCCCTTGACCGGAATCGAACCTAGGACACTTCAGTCTGCAGGCCGACGCTCTATCCACTGAGCCAAACCAGTTTCGGCCACTTTCACTTTTAACTAAACATCCTCTCACCACCAATTAAAAAAAAAACCAATGCAAAACTTCTAAAGGGTATCCTGTAAAATAGGTAGCTATAGATGGCACTATAATTGCATTAGGGCAAATACTGCTGAAAGCTAAAACACAATTTCATGAACGGTCACTTTACTTCAAAGAACTTGCTTTGACAGGTTTATGTCAGATAACACTGGGCAAGGTTGCCCTTTTTTTTCTTGTTATTAAAGAATTAAGAATTAACTCTTTGGGAAGACAAGCATGTTAAATAGTAGTATAAACTACGGTACCTTGCTTTGCTGAAAAAACTTGCATCTTACATGTCTACTGAGAAGCCACGTTAGAGGAAAAGTTCAAGGATGTGGTTTAGAGAAAGTCCTGAACAATGAACATAGTTTTCTCACTTAACATTTAAAAAGAAGTGAATTAAATCCTGTTAGATTAAAATTAAAGTGAAAAACTAGCATACCATATAAAGGACAGCTGTGTAGGCAGACTTCCAGAGGGTGATTTTACACTAACATGCAAACACCTTCCTCATCTGACTGCCTTAATATTCACTAAATTATAAAAATTAGAACAGCCAGTTTTTTTTTTTTAAAGTACATATTGATAGCATTAAGTTTCACTTTAAACGTCAATTTGGTGCCCTACCTGGTTTTGCTCAACGGATGTAGCATTACCCTTAGGACTGAAGGGTCCCAGGTTCGATTCTGGCCAAGGGCACATGCTCGGGTTGTGGGCTCCATCCTTCCCAGTAGGGAGGCATGCAGGAGGCAGCAATCAATAATTTTGTCTTATTCCGGTTTGGCTCAATGGATAGAGCGTCGGCTTGGGGATTGAAAGGTCCTAGGTTCGATTCCGGTCAACAGCATGTACCTTGGTTGCAGGCACATCCCCAGTAGGGGGTGTGCAAGAGGCAGCTGGTCAATGTTTCTCACTCTCTATCCCTCTCAATTCCTCTCTGTGTAAAATCAATAAAATATATATATTAAAAAAAAAAAAAGTCAATTTGGGCCCGACAGAGTGGCTCAGTTGGTTTAGCATCCGTTATCTTGCGCACTGAAAGGTTGATGGTTAGTCAGGACACATATGAAAGGCAGTCTCCAATCAATGTTTCTAAATTCTCACTTTTATATGTCTGTCTCCCTCCCTCCTTCTAAGCATGTCTGAAGGTGAGGATTAAAATACAAACAAACAAAGTCAATTTGGCTCTGGCAGGCGTGACTCAGCTTTGGAAAGTAATCCTGTATACTGAAAGGTAACGGATTAGATTCTTGGTCAGGGTACATGCGGGAGGTAACAAATCAATGTCTCTCTCACATCAATGTTTCTTTCTCCCTCCCTCCCTCTAAAATAAAAAAATAAAAAATAAAGTCAATATGGCCTTCTATGAAATACATGTATGTAATTCCAAACAACATTTTTAATTTTTCACAAACATTATCAAAACCTAAGGATATTTTGACATATAGTATGTCTCTCCATTTCACCCTTATACATACACACCAGCCCATTTTCATCAAGTGAAACTTTGTAAAGTTAAAAAATATATACACTAAGGTCCATTTTTATTTTCCAGATTTAAAAAATTGACACGAACTTAGAGAAGCTCCTTGTTATCAATGTGCTTTGAGAAAAATATTCTAAAATGTCTGTTGGGTCTGAAATATTGTGTGTGCACAGCCTGCCAACAAACTGCTTGTTTTATTTATATTTACTGTTTTTAAAAAATCAGAATCCTTACTTGCATATATCTGTAGAATCCTGAGTTCCTAAAGCATATAATGAAGAACCAATTCTATTGTAATCGTCTGCAGCACCTATGGAAAAAGGTTCAAGAATTTAATATATTTATTCTTTAATTCAAAAATACTGAGCATCTACCTGCCAAACAATGTAATAGGAGATAGTCATAATACAATACAATGAATATTACATTAGAAGGAGATACAAACTACTTTGATAGCAGAAGAAACATGATTTCACCTGAGTAAGTCAGAGAAGGATTTACAGACTCTGCAGAATGAGTTTGCGCTTGTGGGATGAACAAATCTTTACCAGGTAATGTGTAAGGAAGATAATCTCAAGTAAAAAGAAAGAGCATGAATCAAGGCCAGAGAGGCATAAAAGAACATCGTATAATTAGAAAGCCTTCTGGGACTATGGCACTGAAGGGTACAGAAGGAAAGTAGATGGAATTGAAGATGAAAAAATTAACTGGAAGCATCTTAGGAAAAAAGGTTATACCATGATAGAGTCTGCATTTGGTCTGTAGAATGGGTGTCATTAAACATTTTATAATCATAGTAGTAGTACATCAACCTGATAAAGATGTTAGTTTTAAAAAAAATACTGTTGCCCTAGCCAGGTTGGTTCAGCGGATAGAGCATCAGCCTGTGGCCTGAAGGGCATGTCCCAGTTGCAGGCTCGATCCCTGGCCCCAGGAGGAGTGTTTTTGGAAGGCAACCAATGGATGTCTCTCTCTCTCTCTCTCAAAAAAAAAACAAAAAAAAAAAAACAGCCCTGGCCAGGTAGCTCAGTTGGTTAGAGCATCGTCCCAATATGCTAAGGTTGTGGGTTCGATTCCCGGTCAGGGCACATACAAGAATCCACCAATGAATGCATGAATAAAAGGAACAACAATTCAATGATCTCTCTCTCTCTCTCTCTCTCTCTTTAAAACAAAAAAACAACAACAAAAAACAAACAAAAAAACAAACAAATATTCTTGGGTGAGGATTAACAAAAAAATAAAAAAAGATACTGCTTCCTAGAATAAAGACTAGAAGTGCAGAGACACAGAAAATGGAGTAACCAACCTAGAAACTGAGGGCCAAGATCAAGATAATGGGAACAGTGAGAGCACAGAGGAACTAACAAAGCTAAAGGATATTTAGGAAAGGTAACCGGGAGGATTTATAAACAGTAGACCTGATGTAGGAGGGGAAAATTATGACCTTGGGAAACTAGATAAATGGTGCCACCGTTATTCTTTGGTACTAGAAGCAAAGTACCAAACTTTAGCACAACACTCTTCCTAGGGCTTGTTCCACAGGACAATGCACTCGTGAGAAAAGATTATGTATAACAGATGCTTCTATTGGGTTCAGAGAAAGGAGAGTAGAATGCTATGGTTAAGAGGCTGAACCTAGAACCAACCAAACTGCTTAGGGCCCAAGCCCATCTTTCAAACTCACCAGCTACATGACCTTGGACATATACGTATATCACTTAACTCATCTATGCATTTTTACAAGGCTTTAATGTGTTTATTCCCTAATGAAATAGTAATCCTTACATTATACTTTATTATATCATTTAAAATTACATTAGCCCTAGCTGGTTTGACTTAGTGGATAAGAGTGTTGGCCTATGGATTGAATGGTCCCAGGTCTGATTCCGGTCAAAAGCACATACCTTAGCTGTAGGCTCAATACCCAGCCCCGGTCGGGGTACATACGGAAGGCAACCGATCAATGTATCTCTCTCACATCGATGTTTCCCTCTCTCTGTCTCTTGCCCTCTCTTCCACTCTCTCTAAAAATCAATGGAAAAATATTCTCAGGTGAGGATTAAACAAAAATTAAAAATACAAAAAACAAAACACTAAAAACAAACAAAAAAATTAAACCCATAAGACTAAAATTTAAATTTTTTAAAAAAATATATATTTTATTGATTTTATACAGAGAGGAAGGGAGAGAGACAGAGAGTTAGAAACATTGATGAGAGAGAATCATCGATCAGCTGCCTCTTGCACACCCCCTACTGGGGATCTGCCAGCAACCAAGGTACATGCCCTTGCCCGGAATCGAACCCGGGACCCTTTAGTCCCCAAGCCGACGCTCTATTCATTGAGCCTAACTGGTCCCAGCAAAAAATGATGTCTTTTAAAAAATATATATATTTTATTGATTTTTTTTGCAGAGAGGAAGAGAGAGGGATAGAGAGTTAGAAACATCGATGAGAGAGAATCACTGATCAGCACCTCCCATCGGGAATGTGCCCACAACCAAGGCACATGTCCTTGACTGGAATTGAACCTGGGACCTTTCAGTCTGCAGGCTGATGCTCTATCCACTGAGCCAGACCGGTTTCGGCTAAATGATGTAAATCTTGACATACTTGAAAGTTGACACATTTCAGTGTACAATATAAAAAATATTCACTAATATCATTAATCTCAGACAAGTCTTTATTTTTTCAAAATCTTACCAATTATTTTTATTGGCTTTTAAAATATAATTGATATAGCGAAATAGACATAAAATAGAACACACCATAGAAGCAAATGAAAAACACAGCAACTTTTAAACATTTTGTTAGGCGAACGTGATAACCACTACACTACGGAAACCGGTAACTTTTTTTTTTTTTTTTTTTAATTTTTATTTTATTTTATTTTATTTTTTTTCCATATTTTATTGATTTTTTTTTACATATTTTATTGATTTTTTTTACCCCCCTCCCTCCATCCCACCCATCCCCTCCCTCCCCAGAGTTTTATGAACATTGGTTGTACTTATATGCATGTATACAAGTCCTTCGTTTGATCAATTAGGAAACCGGTAACTTTTAAACATTTTGTAAAAATCAAGAATGGAATTTCAGACAAGTCTTTAATTATTGTTATGCAAACTCATGGTAATGAGAACAAGTTTTCTGAACTTCTAATTATTGCTGAAAAGTTTGACTTTTATCATTGTCCACAAATACTGTCAGTTGTTTTCCTTACAGTGATAGATTCAGTGAATTTTTAAGAAAACGTCTAACAAACACTAAAGTCTGAATAATCATAATCTGTTGGCCATTCTTTTAAGTAAAAGTGGTGTTTTATGAAAAAAGTAGGTCAGTTGCAAGTCAATTATTAAAATGCTTTAATAGAAAGAACCATCATACTTCAGTATACAAAGTGCTTTATGCATAGCTCCCATTTTACTACATAAAGTATGAAAAAAAGAAGTGTACTCAAGGACATTCCTTTTTTTTTTTTTTTTTTAAATATATTTTGTTGATTTTGTACAGAGAGGAAGGGAAAGAGAGAGTTAGAAACATTGATGAGAGAGTCATCGATCAGCTGCCCCTTGCACACCCCCTACTGGGGATATGCCCGCAACCAAGGCACATGCCCTTGACCAGAATCGAACCTGAGACCCTTCAGTCCCCAAGCTGATGCTCTATCTACTGAGCCAAACCGGTTTTGGCTCAAGGACATTCTTAAATGAATTTTGAGGGAAAGAATTAGATATTACCCAAGAGAAATGAAAGCATAGGTCTATACAAATACTTACATAAATGGCTCATGTGAGTATTATTATTATAGTACCGGTAGTCTGATGCCACTGCCTTGATTTGTGCTAAGGTACCAGCAATTTTATTCATCACTAGAGGCCTGGTGCATGAAAATTCACGTACTTGGGGAGGGGGCGAAGGGTGTTGCCTCCAGGCTTGTGCTCTCTCGCAGTCCAGGAGCCTTCAGGGTATATCTGACGGCTTAGGCCCACAGTCTGACATTCCTCTGTTGTAGGCTGGCTCTTCCCCCTTCCCGCTCCCCCCATCACCGTCCCCTTCCTCTGCACGCTGGCACGTGCCTTGGCTGGCCTGGCATCGCCTGTTCACCGGCCCTCCCGACCCCCGCCAACAGGTCTTTCTGCCGTTTGGTCAAATTGTATATTACACTTTTACTATACAGGATGACTTTTGCATTATGAATATAAATGTTGACCTAGCTGGTTTGGCTCAGTGGATAGAACATCAGTCTGTGGACCACAGGGTCCCAGGTTCGATTCTGGTCAAAGGCATTAAAAAACAAAACAAAAAACAAACAAACACATCAACATGATAAAAAGGCAAAAGGCATCATAGTATTATTATGAAAATGGTTTGACATCACAGACTTACTAAAAAGGGTCTCAGAACCAAGGCTTCAAAGACCACAGTCTAAGAAATGCTGCTCTATAACAAGACTTTTACAAACTATAAATAACATAAGTAAAACCTTACTTTTGTGGGATCTTGTCATCCTATCAGATTTAGCAGATGCATCTTTAACTCGGTTATGGTATTCTAAAAGGAATGTTCGTTCATGCTCAAAGAAATCATCTACATCCTATAGAATCAAAAGAAAATATGAACTTTTTTTCAATTGTTTGCTTTAGTGTAATATAAAAACCATTTTGTTATTATTATTATAATCACAAAAGGTCATTAGTAAAACAGTATCCTATCCTTAATAATCTTTAATAATCAGATGTTATATTGATTTTACCAACAAGTTCAGACTTTAATAAACATGAATTTCTATCTGTCAAGTAAGAGATCTTCTATGGTTTTGCAGCTGAAGGCTTAGAGCTCCCCCTATGGTTCTCCGAAACGTGTTCCTACTCATGCTCTGCCTTTACACCCCAACAAATGTATTATTATCAGTGGGAGTGACCAATTGTTTTTGAGAAAAGGGAAAGAGAAAAAAAAATTCTGATGGATACGTCTATTTCTCTTGGTCTATTATGAGTATTATAGGCCATTTCAGAAGGCTGGGAACAATTATATCAACCACTGTCTTCAAATTTTTTTTTTTTTTTTTTTTTTTTTTTTTAGCAAAGTTAAACATAAAAATAAAAATTAACAGTATTTTCCTCTCTTCTAAAATGTCCATTGTTTACTGAAAAAGCACAAGTTGAAATGATGTAATTCAAGATCCACATCAACAGAAAAGTAGAAGCCAAAGTTAATATTGATAAAATGACATTTAAATTTGTAATTCATGTGTACCAGCTCTCCTAATTGTAAAAATGGGGATAATATTAACTTGCAGAATTGTAGTGAAGATTAAATAAGAAAATGTGGGCTATCAAAGACCACATTGTAAATGTTAACAACATATCAATTGGCCTATCTCTGAAAAATCAAAATATAAATAAAATAAATAGTACTTTACACCTACATTTTATTGCAGATGAATCTATAAAACAGATAATGATGACAAAGCAGCCTTATTTATAGCTTAGTAATTGCTTGATAGGGTAATATAAGCATTTTACTCTTATATTTTAATGGTAAGAATCTTCAGACAAATTAAGTCTTGTATCATTCTAAGATACCATTAAGAAAAATTTAGGTGTTATGTAGGTAAATAATTAACTTTATAAGTATTTTTACACATATTATCTCATTCAGTCTAACAATCCTGTGAGGCAGGAGGTATTATTAACTGCATTTGAAAATGGGAAATAGATTCAGAGAAAGAGACTTTTCTCAAGATCATATAGCCACTATGAGACAAAACCAAAACATCAACTTAACTCTTCTAATTCTCAATCTGAATCCAGGACTGCTCCTAACATTTGTAAGGCCAAGGGCTAGTGTACAAATGGAAGGAGTCCTTTTTTATTTTTATTTTGAAAGATAAACCTTTTCTTTCTTTCTTTAATTAATTAATTAATTAATTAGAGTGGAAGGGAGAAGGATAGAGAGATAGAAATTGATGAAAGAGGAACATCATCCATCGGCTGCCTCCTGTACACATCTCTACTGCAGATTGAGCCCACACCCAGGCATGTGCCCTGACCAGGAATTGAACCAGTTACCTCTTGGTTCCTGGGCTGATGCTCAACTGCTGAGCCACATTTACGACCCACCCTGCAGCTCTGCAGGGTATCCACAGGGATTTCTTGTGCATGTGGCTGGACAGTCCATCCTGTATACTGACTTTCTCCCCTGTGCCTTCCCTCTACTCAGCTGTCCTATAGTCACCCCTTGACCACCCATAGATACACACTCCAGCACCACTGTCTACCCACTGGAGGATGGACTCAGGGAAAAAGCCCAGGCAGGACCTGAAGGTAGGCTTGGAATCTGGCCAAAGATACCCAGGGTTCTAGATAACTGGAGCACTGTCTGGTCTGGAGGAAGGGGTATGGGCTTCAGGTGGGCAAATTCCCTTGGACCTGCAAATCTTTGACTCTTGGAGAAGGAAGCTCTAAAGAGTGTATCCAAGGTAGGGGGTCCAATTTCCTAGGGCTAAGGATTCTACTGCCCAAATTTCTCTTTTACTCAAATATAATCTTCAACACATATAAATTTTCAATCCAGCTTCCGTTTAAAAGGAATAAATTCTTGTCCTACTGAAGAGCAACAGTTCTTTCTGAAATCAATAAAAAATATATATATTTTAAAAAAGAAGTAAATTCTCAAATACTCCTATTAATCAAATAAAATCTTACCTTTACTCCTGAAACAATTACTCCATCTGCTGATTTAACCATGTTTTTAAAGAAATCTTCAAGTTTCTCTTTTTTATTTTTTCCTCGCACACTCAACTGAAAGAAAGGTAAGTAGAAGTTAGCATTTAAAAAAATTACAAATGGACAATAACACCTCTTTTACACTTTGCTGTCAACAGGGCAATTTCAAAAGGATCCCAGTTTTTAAACTTAATAAAGTAGCAATATCATCATGTATATTAATGATTTTCAAACTTCAGGGAATTAAAGAAGAGTTTGGCCTCACCCCAAAGATTCAGATTCAGCTGATCTACAAAAAGGCCTACATTCTCAGTGTATATTTAATAATTCTGTTGCAATTATTCTGCCTAGCACTACTATGTAATGTAAACACAACTAAAATGTTAACTCAGGAGTTCCTTTAAACATAAAATTTATTGGTGAACAATATACCACCATATGCTTCTGCAAAAGGTCTGAAAATTTATTCTGTACATTCTTCACTCTAAATTCATCCAAACATCATCTACTGTCCTGTTTCCAGTGCCAGCAACTTCCAGTTCAAGGGACACAAAAGATGACTTTGAGCCGAGACCGGTTTGGCTCAATGGATAGAGCGTCGGCTTGGGGACTGAAGGGACCTGGGTTCGATTCCGGTCAAGGGCATGTACCTTGGCTGTGGGCATATCCCCAGTAGGGGATGTGCAAGAGGCAGCTGATCGATGACTCTCTCTCATCGATGTTTCTAGCTCTCTATCTCTCTCCCTTCCTCTCTGTACAAAATCAATAAAATATATTAAAAAAAAAAAAAAAAAAGATGACTTTGAGTGGCATGAATAGTTATCTAAGGCAAAACTGAGAAGCACCTATTAACTCTGACTTTACCACCTGCTACATCAGAGTGTCCCATAAAGGAGCATCTTATCTAACTTCCTTATCTATTGGCATGGCTTCAATACTCACCTTTATGTAAATAGCTCACAAATCTCTATCACTACCCCTCAGCTTTTTCTGATTCATAGAGCCAACTGCCTATATCATATCCATTTAAAAAAATATATTTTTTTGATTTCAGAGAGAAAGGGAGAGGGAGAGAGAGAATCGTTGATCAGCTGCCTCCTGCATGCCCTCTACTGGGATCGAGCTGACAACCCGGGCATGTGCCTTTGATTGGAATCAAACCTGGGATCCTTCAGTCCACAGGCCAAAGTTCTATCTACTGAGCCAAACCAGCTAGGACACACACACACACACACACACACACACACACTCACACTCTCTCTCTCTCTCTCTCTCTCTCTCTCTCTCTCTCTCTCTCTCTATATATATATATATATATATATATATTATCCTTACACAGAGATTATGCTAATCTCACATCACACGAACTAAGTCTAAGACAGTACTCGTTATACACTCTCCACAATCTAACCTCTAAAATTTTTCCTCTTCCTGGTCCCTATTCATGATTCTCCATTCAACCAGTCTCTCACACTCCTATATACTCCCTAAAACCCCATACCTCTCATTAAAATTCTTTAAAAAAAATATTTTACTGGAGTTAGAAACATCATTGAGAGAAAATCATCAATCAGCTGCTTCCTGCACACCCTCTACTGGGGTTGTGCCTGGAACCAAGGTACATGCTCTTGACCAGAATTGAACCCGGGACCCTTCAGTTCACAGGTTGATGCTCTAGCCACTGAGCCAAACTGGTTAGGGTTCTCATTAAAATTCTTAAAATAATCCGCCGAGACCGGTTTGGCTCAGTGGTAGAGCGTCGGTCTGCGGACTGAAAGGTCCCAGGTTCGATTCCGGTCAGGGGCATGTACGTTGGTTGCAGGCACATCCCCGGTGGGGGGGGGGTGCAGGAGGCAGCTGGTCGGTGTTTCTCATCGACGTTTCTGGCTCTCTATCTCTCTCCCTCCCTCTCTATAAAAAAAAAATCAATAAAATATATTAAAAAAAATAAAATTCTTGAAATAATCTACAATTTCTCTCACAGCTCAAATTCTACCAGCAAATATCTGATATCTGTTCTTTGTATTAACTCTGTCCTAGTAAATGTCTTCATTATCTCTTGCCTAGACTACTAGTTAACATCCTTCATCTCAATCCAATCCATTCTGCTGCTTTGGGATAACTTTCCATAATCAAATTTTGAGTATCTCTCTTCTTTACTCAATAACTTTATAGTTTCACAATGTTTGGAGAATAAAGGCTAATTTCCTTATTATTCTGTATATTAAAGATTTTCAACAATCTGACTCAACCTACCTTTCCTCTGTATCTGAAATGGTACCTCCCCTCCCATCAAAATTGGTATTCAGACTTAAACATTCAAATTAAAAGACATCTCTCTTCAAGTAACCCTTCCTAGTTAGAATTCACTGCTCTATCTTTAGGCCCCCCAATACACACTGATTTTTTTTAAATTGCATTTTTTTTGGATATTGATTAGTTCATTAATTTACTCATTTAACAATCCACTAACAAATCTATAGTAAGAGGTGGTTTCTGTCCTTAAAATAATTTATAGTGTAGCAGAGGATTCAAGGAGTAAACATATGATTAAGCATATAGTGTAAGGAGTATAATATTAGAGGAATCCATAACACACTAGAACATCCAAGTTCCTTGGATGATGAGAAAGGTAATGAGAAAAAAAAGAACAACTGAAGGCTGAATGACCAGAGGCAGCTTCAATAACCCAGATGAGGTTGTTGAAAGAAGCGGACACATTCCCAATATAATAAAGGAGTAAAACAGATGAGATTTGGTGACTTCTAATAGGAAGAGGGCATAGGAGGAGTCATGGATAATTTGCAGGCTTTTAAACTTCTTTAAAAAATTTTATTGAATTTTAGAGAGAGAAGGGAAGGGGGTGGGGGGAAAGAGAAACATGGATTGGCTGCCTCCTGCACTCCCTACTAGAGATTGAGGCATGTGCTCTGACTGGGAATCAAACCAGCAACATTTCAGTGCACAGGATGCTGCCAAACCAACTGAGCCACATTAGCCAGGGTGTAAGTTTCAGGTTTTAAGGAACTGGGAGGTCAAAATACCTTCTTTGAAATAGAGAATATAAGAGGAAGCATAGGTTTAAGGAATTCAACTAAGGGTAAAATACCAAGAGAACATCTAAATGGAGCTTTTCAGAAGGTTGTTTAATAAATATAGCTGGGACTCAGGAGTGATACAGATTTATAAATTAACAGCATAGTAGAGAATCTGAAACCAGAGAGTAGATTAGATCACTCAGGAATAATTTATGGAATCAGAAGTCTAGAGGAACTTATAGACAACTTGAGAACACAATGAGGAAACTTGGAAGCACCAGATTTAAACGAATGGGTATATGGAGAAAAAAGGTGGTGAAGGATACTGTAGCCACAGAGTTAAGAGGAAACTTAAAAAAAAAAAAAAAAAAAAAAAAGAGGAAACTTAAAAGAGATTCCAAAGATCAAGAAGTACATGGGATCCAGCATAGCTATAAAGGTATCTTAGTCAAAATAGAAAAGCACAATATAATATACCACATTAATATAATTAAAGACAAAAACCACATGAGCATCTCAATAGATTTTTTTTTCCATGATAAAGACACTCACAAACTAGGAAAAGAAAGGAGCTTCTTCCACTTGCTAAAGGACATTTATGAAAAACCACAGCTTACATTATTTAATGGTGAATGCTTTCCTCCTAAGACAGACAAAATGAGGGTATCTACTCTTGCCATTTCTATTTAACATTGTACTGTAGGGTTTAGCCAGGGTAGTTAGGCAAGCAAAATAAATAAAAGGCATCCAGATTGGAGAGGAAGATGTAAAAAAGAAAAAAAAAGATAAAGTTAATAAATGAGTGGCTGCCAGGGTGGGTGAGGATTGTGGGAGATATAGGAAGGTCAGAGACTTGATTTCAGATTCGCTTCCATTCCCAATGAACACGGTGAAAATCTGATCAAGAGGAACTGCTTTGAACTGAAATAAGCTTTCATGAAATATGGGAAAGAACTGTTTAAAGACATAACCTTATAAATAATGGAGCAGGCATCTAGACTAGCTAAGAAAGAAGTAAAGACAAAAGGGTTGCTAACAAAGTCAAAATGCAGGAGAGGGCAAAGAACAACTATATTGCCCTGGCCGGTGCGGCTCGTTGGTCAGAGTGTCAGCCTGTGAACTTGAAGGGTCGAGAGTTTGATTCCTGGTGAAGGGAATGAACCTCGGTTGTAGGTTCAATTTCCAGCCCTGGTTGGGGCACATGTGAAAAGCAACCAATCGATGTGACTTCTCTCACATCCATGTCTCCTCTCCCTCCTTTCTACTCTAAAAAAAAAAAAAAAAAGTCAATGGAAAAATATCCTCGGGTGAGAATTAACAAAGAACAACTACAATGGGAATACGGAAAAAAAGAGCTATAGGACAGAAGGCTATGTTTGGAATCCACAATACTATACTAGGACAGCTTTCTCCAAGACAGAAGTGCTGGCAGAAGCCATTGCTCCTTGCTGAGCCCTCTTTCTGTAGACAAAGGCTGCCGTCATACTATTTAATAAAAGGGCAATATGCAAGTTAACCATCACTCCCTCACAAAGATGACGGCGCCCATAGCCACAAGATGGCAGTGCCCAGTCCTCTCAGCCCTGACAGAGTCCCCCAGTCTCAGGGGGGTGGCCACTGAGAGCGGGCAGCGTGAGTGGCCTGGTGGAATGCTTGCTTTGTCACTGTGGCGACAAGGTAATTGTTCTGCTCCTGGCCGTGGAGGGCTTCTGGCCAGGCCGGGGCATGGAACGCTTGCATAAAAAGAGAAGGAACCAGTGAGTTGAGCAGAGTCGAGTGGCACCAAACTCCCAGGTAAGGTTAAATCCAGTTGGCCAAAGGGTGGATGGGGTGGAGGATAGTGTGACAGGAGGGACTGGTGGCGTAGACACAGGGATGAAAGCTGGCTAAGGAAGCCCTTTATCAGAGTTCCTGAGAACAGGGAGGTAAGTCATTTGCATTTCCCAGCCATGAATGGGCCTCTGGCCAGGCTGGGGACGGATGGGTCTCTGGGCAGCATGCGGAGCGGCCAGGCCCCGCAGAGAGCTATTGGTGCAC